TGCCTTTACATCTAAGCTTGCAGTGTTAGAAAACTTCCATACTGTCCATACCAAATCTATAGCTATCATTGCATGCTTAGGCTGTCTTGCTTAAATGTTAAGGTACTGCTACCTTTAAAGATAGAACCATAGACGACCTACTGCAAATGCAAACCATCACAGAGATATTTTGTTTGAAACTGTTTTGCATTTCGTCTTGTTAATATTTGGTTATTGTTGTTTTCTTCGGGATCTGAAATGCTGATTTCCTGTACGCGACGTTTCGGCAATCCACACAATCCAAGCCTGAAGACGACGCACTAAGTGCGCCGAAACGTCGCGTACAGGAAATCTGAAATCTTTACAACTTCAGCACCACAGGATTGAATGTAGATATTGTTATCAAAGTTATGTATTTTTAACAGATTATCCAAAAGTGGTAGCTCCAGTGACAGCACGCATGACAGTGACAGTAACAGCAGTACTAACAGTGTCCTAGAAGTTTGTCCTGCCAGTGGAAGCGATGTTCATAACCTTGCATCTTGGGGGCTACCACCATCAGTGTTACAGCGATACCATGATATGGGTATCACTCACATGTTTGAGTGGCAAGCAGAGTGTTTAAGGACAGGMAAYGTACTCAGAGGAGGTAAATGAAGAAATGAGAAATAGATGAATACAAAATGAGAAATAATTGTTGAAAAAATGGGAAATGGAGAAATAGGAAAACGAAGAATTAGGAGTGCAGAAATGAAAGCAATTGGGCACATAGTGTGTGCTTTAAAATTCTAAAAGCTATAAATTTTTAATCTTGAACTACATTTTTTTGCATTTTTTTATTTTCCTTTTTTTATCTTTATTTATTTATTTTTTTAATTCCAGGAAATCTGGTCTACTCAGCACCAACCAGTGCTGGCAAAACCATGGTAGCCGAGTTGCTGATGTTAAAGCGAGTTCTAGAAACCAAGAGAAAAGCTTTGTTTATTTTGCCATACGTCAGTGTGGCCAGAGAAAAGATGTTTTATCTACAGGTAAGATCTGCGGCTTCATCCACACGTTTCCGCAAATAAAACTGTTGTATGCCCGATTGCAAGTCGCGTCCAGAACTACCCGGAAATTTTCGAAAACATTTTTTAGAGTAAATATGGCTGAAAACGCTCCTTATATTGGTACTCGTGGACGCGAGTTGATTTTTACATCAACAACAAAAAATCGGGTGCGGATAAATTTAAAGAAATGTGCGGCCACGTGTCCGTAACGCCCATTTTGACTTGTGAAGTAAAAACGGAGAAGAAGACGTAAGCCACTTACGGAAATCAGCATACAGAAAAGTAAGAAGTATGAAAGAAACGAAGAAGAAAAGAAAATATCAAATAAAAACCTTACGTTTTGCTTCTTTCACCGCTTCCGTCTTCTCCCTCTTCATGCACTTCAACTTACAGTGTCGCTGCTCATTGGCTATTCTTCGTTTTCACTATGTACCACAGCGGCCATCTTGGAGGAACTTCAACAAAGGATTTCTCATTAGTATCTATTGTTCATTCCTCCAACATGGCCGCTGGTCTTTTATCTTTTGCATATCATGGGAATGGTTGAAAACGAACAATAGTCTCCTTGACGGTTACGTGCGCCATCTTGAAAAGTAGTCGTGCCTTTACATCGAAGCTAGACAACCGTTTAGCGTGCAATGGTAGATACCTTTGAATAATTGTCTGTAGGTGTGAAAGAAGGTTTCTATCATTGCATGCTCAACGGTCGTGTCGCTTCGATGCAGAGGTACATACAAAGGCACGGCTACCTTTCAAGATGGCGTAGAGAACCGTAAAGAAGACTATTGCGCACTCTGTTAGCCTAATGATAGGCCTTCTAACAGTTGATGATATTTTTAGTTAATGGTTCGAGAAAAGACAGCCAAAATGTAAAACAATGACAGTATTTCTTTGGGTTTCAGCGTCTGTTTCAAGAAGCCAGTGTTCGTGTCGAGGGATTCATGGGCAGCCATAACCCCGCAGGTGGATTTACTGCGGTAGACATTGCCGTATGTACAATAGAGAAGGCAAACAGCTTACTAAACAGACTTATGGAAGAAAACAAGGTGTCTACTTTGGGGGTGGTAGTGGTGGATGAAATGCATATGATAGGTGATCCCCACAGGGGGTACCTACTGGAGCTTTTTCTCACCAAGATAAGATTTGTTTCTGGAGAGGGGACAGTCCAAGGTGAACAAGCTGAATGTGATAACAAAGGTCAGTTTAGGCGCTCAAATTCGTCCCTTAATTGCAAAATGCTCGCTTCTTACAAATTCTCGCACCTCGGTCGCCAAATGCTCGCGCTTTGGTCGCGAAATGATCGCACCTTGATCGTGAAATGATCGCACCTTGATCGTGAAATGATCGCACCTTGATCGTAAAATGATCGCACCTTGATCGTGAAATGATCGCATTTATATGATTCAAGCAAAGTAACAAGCCTCTGTATATTACGCATTTTTAGACGGTAAATCTACAAACGAGTCCCCGATTCAAGTCGTCTGTATGAGTGCAACATTACCCAACTTAGACATGCTCGCTCGTTGGCTTGCCGCTGACTTGTACTTCACAGACCACAGACCAGTCCCTCTGACGGAGATGGTGAAAATCGGCCCGACCATTTATGACAAAAAGATGACCAAAATCCGGGACATTGATCCAACGAAAGCCGTTGTCAATGACGACGATCACATAATCCCACTTTGTAAAGAAACTATTACCCAGGGACACTCGGTACTGATATTTTGTCCGACAAAAAACTGGTGCGAGAAACARGCAGAGGCGATTGCGCGMCACTTYTCTACTATCGGAAACCCWGGACTAGCAAGAAAAACTGACAATCGATCAGGCTTCGTGAAAGCSTCGGATATGATCGCKTTTGATTACGAAGCCATCCGGGAGGTCTTCGAGCAGCTCAAAAGGACGCCTGTCGGCTTGGACTCGGTTTTACGAAGGGTGTTGCCTCATGGGGTGGCTTATCACCACGCGGGACTTACAGTTGACGAGAGGGACATTATCGAGGGGGCTTTTAGACAAGGGACTATAAGAGTTCTTGTGGCCACATCTACATTATGTTCAGGTTTGTGCACCATTTTAATTGCCCTATTCCATAATGACGTCACAGTATGTTTACATTGTGGATAGATGCTCAGAAAGATTTGAAATTTGGACCTATTAATATTCTTTCTGAAAGTAGAACTTTAGGGCATCGAGTTTTGATGTATATCATTTATCAGTGATAGCTCATCGACATTTTATTTGATATGCAATTACTCTGGTTCCCTCTGGCGACCATAATCTTTAGCGTTAAAACAATAGAATGTTTTACTGTGACGTAATTATGCGATAGGGCAATTTCACATAGTTTTGGAAATTTCGCAATTTCCGCGTTATTTCACTGTACGTGAATCCCTTACCAGGTGTGAATCTTCCCGCTCGTCGAGTCATCATCCGAACTCCTACGTTTCATGGTAAAATGGTAGACCCTTTGGTCTACAAGCAGATGGCTGGACGGGCTGGACGTAAAGGAGTTGACGATCTTGGTGAGAGTGTTCTTGTATGTAAAACTACTGAAAGGCACAAAGCTACGACGCTGATGAAGAGCGAACTCAAACCTGTGCAAAGCTGTTTATTATGTAAGAATGTTTTTAAGCAGTTCTTGTTTTTAAGCTTGTCCTTCTGTTTCCTCCGTGTTTCCTTAAGTTGCACTCCCTTTCTTGTCTTTTTGATCGCTTCTTGTCTTTTTCCCTTTCATCCCGTTTTGCTTTATGCCATTATTCTCCCTTCCTTCCTCCTTTGACTCAACCTGACTCTATCTCTGGCTTTTAACACTTCTTTTCATTGTTATTTCGTCTCTTGTTTCTTTCTCATTTATGACTTTCTTTTTGTCTACTCTTCCTTCTCTTCTCTCGTTCTTTCGTTATCTCCTCTCAGCTTTCTCTCTACCTGTTCCATCTATCCCTCTTCCCTTTCTTTCCCAATGCTTTTCCCATCTCTCTTTTTTGTTGTCATTGTATTATATTTATTTTTCCTCTTTAGATCCTTTCTTCATTTTTGTTGTCTCTTTTCCTTCCTTCCTTCGTCCTTTAGACAACTAAATCATCATTTTTTCTCTCTCTAGTAAAAGAACTCAATGGTGGAATCAAGCGTGCTTTACTGGAGGTCATCGCCAGTGGCGTCGTGACAGGATTACGTGACGTAGAGCGTTACGCTGCGTGTACATTCTTTGCTTCCTCGTCACGTCAGGATGACARAGATGGCAACAAGTGCGCTATCACTGAAACAATTAAATTTCTRGTTGACAACGAGTTTATTCGGGTACAAGTCAACAAAGACAAAGAGAATGGAGACTCCGTAAGTATTCTTCGTTTTCAAGTTACGTCACAGCGGCCATCTTGGASGAACTTCKACAAAGGATTTCTCATTAGTATCCATTGTTCATTTCTCCAACATGGCCGCCAGTCTTTTATCTCTTGAATTACAKGGGAATGGTTGRAAACGATCAATTRCTGCGTCGCTTTTCACCAGGGTTGTACCCAGTCCTTACTCCAATTTTTCGGTACACTCCAAGGGGCCAATGGGAAGGAAAAGTTTGCGATTTTCCTTTGTCCTTCGATTCAGGCAAAACGCGTCTCTATAAAATAAAGAGTAGCGATTGGGTATGAATTGTTTAGACGCCTTTTTTTCTCTACTCATCACGGTATGAGTTGATATCCTGTACGATAAATTCATACAAGAACTCCATCCTTACGAGAATCCGCCATCTTGATAAATTTTTCAATCCCATAATACTTTTCGGCAATACAATGAGGTCATAAGCGTAGAGAACGATTATAAACGATTATTTCTTTGCAGCGATCAGAGGAATCAGCCCAAGAGCGTTACGTTTCTACCCAGCTTGGTTCAGCCACAGTGGCTTCTGCTCTGTCTCCTGATGAAGCTTTGGTTGTATTCGGTGATCTCCAACAAGCAAGAAAATGCTTCGTGCTGGAGAGCGAACTGCATATCATCTATCAGGTATAGAATAGAGTTATTTAAAAAGATGTTATATATAAAATATTACATGGGCGCGCGAAGATACGGATTTTATCTTCGAGTGAAAAGATCTCTCACGAGTGAGCGTATTTATATATGAAAGCAAGTTATGTCGTAAAATATCTTTTTCTTACTTCCACTATATAGAGAAACCTCGAATCTCGAATAAAAGAAATATAGGCATTTCATAAATACTGTCTGATGAGTGCGTAGCACGAGACTCGGAGTTACAGCAAAATCTTGCCTCTTTAATGGGATCAGCTACTTCCTCATACAATTATTATATTTAAGAAATATAAAACGACGATGTAACCACTGTATTTCTCTCTGCAGGTCACACCTATATATGTCGAAGCTCAATGGCCAAATCTGGACTGGAATCAGTTTCTAAGCATTTGGGAACGTCTTCCTTCGCATATGCGACGCGTTGCTGACATTGTTGGAATACAAGAAGTCTACCTATCCCTTGCATCACGGGGTAGGATACCAACCCGTACKCCACAACAGCGGCAACAGCTAAGAGTCCATCGGCGCTTTTTTGCTGCGTTGGCTCTACAAGATTTAGTCCACGAGGTACCTTTAAATGTCGTTGCTCGCAGGTACGGGGCAACTCGAGGGATGGTACAGTCCTTGCAAAGCTCAGCCTCTACGTTTGCGGGAATGGTAAGCGTGTTCTGCCAGAAACTCGGTTGGGTCAACTTAGACCTTTTGCTGTCACAGTTCCAGAGTAGGCTGTCTTTTGGYGTCGAGAGAGAGCTGTGCGATCTTGTRAGGATCTCGGTTTTGAACGCCGCGCGTGCGCGAATGCTTTATAACGCAGGCTTTCAAACCATGGCATCGCTGGCGTCCGCTAAACCGGAAGTAATCGAGACAGTCTTGAGAAATGCTGCTCCATTTGTCAGCGAGCGAARACATCACGGAGAAACTGATTTGGAGGTGAAAYAYCGAAGCGAAGCACGAGTGATATGGGTTGCAGGAAAGAAAGGACTCAGTGAAAGGGAAGCAGCAGTTTTAATCATATCAGAAGCGAASCAACACCTTCAAGATGATGCTGCACAACTTGGTATTCAGTGGAAGGCACCGGAAGTAAATGCACCGGAAGCACGCGGACTAGAAAGAAATCCACCGGAAGTACGCGCAACGGAAGTAGCTGGAACTTCCATTGGTAACAAAGGGAATCGATCATTAGGAGTGGCAGGGAATCTATCTCGTGATAAACCATCCAAAAAGAAGCGGAAATTCTCAAATAGACGAAGGTTGTCGGGGGCTAATGGGAATCGGATATCGCCTCCTTTGCGGCGAAGTCCACGACGATCACCAGATACTAATCCCCCTGAAGTCAAAGAGAAATACACCAAATTGACTGACGTTAGGACTTTGCCTTCATGCCTGGAAGGACAAACAAACCGTGTTAAAGACGATAAGACAGCACAAAGCATCCGATGTCTCGAAAGCTTACCAGGAACAAGTAAAGATAAATGCACAAAAACTATGAATACCAATGGAAATACCTTGTCTTCGTGTGTAGAAGGGCAGAGGAACGTTAACGCGGCGCTCAACGTCAATCCAGTAGAATCAGAACCAGTAACTAGAAAAAGGCGAGAAACACACGAGAAAAGCAAAGTACAAAGCGATAAAACTCTCTATAATATTCAAATCGAGAATGTTATTCCGTCCAAACAGACGTCCACCAATCATAGCAGTGCTCACAAAGAAGAGAGAACTATTGCGTATGACAAACAAAACTGGAATAAAGATGCTAAGACCTTTGCTGCACGTGACTCCACGATAACCAATCATAGCAAAGATCGTCTTGAAAGTAACCAATCAGAAAGAATAGGTTTATCCGAAGAGCAAAACCGTAAAAAGGAGGCTGTAAAATATAGTTCACGTGACCTGCCTTCCACCAATAAGGTCAAAGACAAACTACAAAGCAACCAATCAGAGGGAAGGTCAGTTCCATCTATAGTTAGAAACCAGAGTCWAGGTGATCARCAACATAGACCGAATTGCTTTAACAAAGAAGTACAAGAACAACATCAAAATGAAATAAAACCAAGAGCAGATTTTTTTACGCCAATTGGGGAAACTTCCAAACAGAGGAGAACATCTCCACGGAATAAATGTAATAGCGAAACTTCTGATAATCGATTAAGTATTAAACGACGTTCTCCACGAAATGAGCTCCGCAAAGACTCGCCGAAGGAAAAGGTCCCAAGAATTGAAACAAAGATGGCGGACGAGATCGAGAAACAAGACTCCCTTCTGAACACAACACAATCATTTTCAGTGCAAGAGGAGTCGTACTCTTCTGCAGTTCTGTTTGACAACTCCGTGGATATCTCTGAGAATAAAGTGGCTCCTGGACCGAGTATATCACCAGAACTATACTCTGAGCCTTTGGACGAAGAAAAAGATGCTAAAGGTATTTACAAAGTTTGTCCTAGCAATTGACGAATGCACGACCGAATGTTACTATGGGTAATAATTATTTTTTATGGCAATGTTCACCCACATAAGGCAATCAATACTGCTGTTTTCTACTGAATGAAGTTCTTCGATAAAGATTTGTTTAGTTGGTCCTTGTTCAGTTTTCAGCAAAGTAGAGTGAATGTTATCCAGCAAGAATTATTAACCACAACTACTTTCGGTCGTGGAATTGGGGTTTCGCTCCGACAATCTCATTAAAATAGCTGTATATTCAAAAATTCATTCAAAATCCATAGTTAATTGTTACAAATTCACTTGTCCATTCCTTGAATCATTCGACCACTTCTTCATTCCTCCATCCATCCTTTTCCCATCTTTTTATTCATTTCATTCATTTAATGAATTTCCAAAAAAGTGTTAAGCAAATGATTATAATTGTTGTTGTCTCATAATTTGACAACGGCACAACATTAATGGTTGTATATATATATTGCGAGAGGAAGAATTTATTTCGAAGAGCAGTGCTTTTTATTTATTTTCTTGATTATCATGATAAAAACTATTCTAGTTTAATTGTTTTTACCTTGCAATTTCTTTTACCATTCTCCTGGGTAATAAGAGCAATGGTATGGTACTTTCCTCTAATGACTTTGGCGTGATCATGGGATGGCCTTAAAGTGTAACTGAACCCTTTTAGAAAATCATTTTTTTTAAAAGGCAAATATGATGCTAATCATTGTCTTGAAGAATTCTATTTTCTGAGTTAAAGGCATTTGAAAATTTAAAATGCTAATGAAGTGACGCCAATCAAGGAATTGGGCTGGAGGTTTTCATTGTTTGCGATATCTTGCGCTCGGTTGAAATGGTCAAATCATCAATAATAGTGATATTCAAGACCTGGAAATGTCATCTCCAATATAAAAAAGAGTAATGTATTTTTTTATGATTTTGCATATTAAATCATTCCTTAGTAGACGTCACTTAATTTGCATTTCAGATTTCCAAATATTTCTAAATCAGAAGATATAAATTTGAATGTTTTTTCCCTTTGCAGAAGTGCTTAGCAGTATGTTCTCTTTCGAATGAAATGACTTTCTAGAAGGATTCGGTTGCACTTTAAGTACAAACTGAGTCATGTTGTTTTTCGCTCGAGTTTCTGCTGTTTCAGGCTGTCTTTTCGTACAAGTATTAGTCATTTCATAGATAGGTCTTTTAACATACTTAACATTAGCTTAGAACCTTTTAGTTTCTTTAGGAGTTATAATTTAGTGATTCGAGTCTCACTTTTCAAGATGGCGGACGCATTTTTTTCCGAAACATCTGATGCATGTATAACGAACTAAACATTGACATGTATTGACCGAGCAACCGTGAAAGGATTGCAAGGCCAACTGTCAGCAGTAGACTTAAAACTAATTGTTTTGTTTTCTTCTTATCAACGATTATCAACTAAATATAGTTACAGTCAACTCTTTCGTAAGCGACCACCTCGGGATCAGGAAAAAGTGGTCGCTTACGAGAGATGGTCGCTTACGAGAGAATGTTTTTACCGAGTTTATATGGGAAACAATCATAACGGGAAATTTAAAAGGTGATCGCATACGGGGTATGGTCGCTTACGAGAGTGGTCGTTCAAAGAGAGTCAACTGTATTTTCTCTTCATGGTCGACACCACTGGAATGCATTGACCGACCGACCGACCAACCTACTTTTCATTGTTTCACATCTTTAGCTGTCGGCCAGGTTGTCATTGTCGGGGCAACTATCGTCGACGTTATGGTTGATATTTTGTAATTCAAATCTTTCGGTGGCTTGATAAAATGGATGGGTTTGGCAACATTTGAACCTGCGCAACAATTCTTTTTTGAATTCACGCATGCGAAATGCGTAAATGATGACATTCACAACCGAGTTACCATATTGAAGCCATTTGGAAGCCRTGACGAATTCATATGACAGTATGATTTGATTRCATGRRATGTTTTTAATTRTTWTTGATTTTAAGCAAACACGATATTCCACTTGAGTGGTCATGAATGGTATCCAAGCAGCCAATGTTATCAGGCTGATGATTGCAAGAGAGATGGTCAGTTTCTTGTTGGTGTGGTGGATGGCGTGATGWGCGATTGCTTTTGTGCATGTCATCTTTATCCATATAAGGAGATAGGCAGTGAWAACTACTACAACWGGGATTGAAATCCACAATACGATTAGGGTAGCCATAACTTCAAGGTAAAGGGGACGGATGAAGGTTTCAAGGTAAAATGAACGGATGAAGGTTATCAAAGGCAGCAGCGAGGCAATAAGCCAACCCCCAGCAATGCCAAAGCCGTATTTAATTCTACTCAATGTACGGTATTTGAAGGGGAARTATGTTGCATATGCTCTTTCWACTGMCAGGGCTGCCAAACCAAATAAGGAAGCTAATCCAAATAAGGGATCTTGTACGTTAAATACTCGCTTATATGTCATTGAGACGGCTTTTCCTTTTGTATCCCCGTAAATGTACATAGGAATTGATATTAGACCAACAAAGAAATCCGCCACTGCAAGGTTTACTATAAAAGCATATCTACGCATGCGCAGACGACGTGAAGTCGTGAATATCACCATTGTGATGGCATTTCCTGTAACTATGGCAATGGTCATAACAATGAATAACGACGTTGACCACATCGTTGACAAGGTTGTCAAGTGAAGAGTTCTGAAATTGACAGAAAGACATTGTATCAACTTTCTGCATGTAAATTCATAGGTAGCCCAAGCACTGGACTTAGCAGTGAAAAACGAAAAGTTCGATAAAAGTGGTAAAAATGAATAAGATTATTTCAAACTACAACATAGTGTTCTTATTTTTCTCAATACCCCTGTGAAGTTTCAGCTCATTATGGTAAACTTTCCCCTACTTATATATATTATGACAAGGTTGGAGACAAACCGACGCCATCACACATTTGCTTATGCATAAATACATCTTAATTTTGATGTCTTAGAGGCCTACCTGCTCTTGACTATGCACTAAAGCCGTTCAAAGACGAAGATAGA